AGTTTGCAACGAGGGCTCTGTTTTCCTGTCATTTTCATGCGCTGAGCGTAGGGTCACGGGGCTCCGTGAGCAGATGCGCGCAAGTTGTTCATATAGGAGGAACGGCTGAAAAAAATTCTCTGTTATCTCTGTTGTTTTATTTCTGTAAAATGAAGAGAAGAGTAAATCAAATGTTGTCTCCTCAAATACAGAGGATAGAGTGCCTAAATAAAAATTTACATGACAAATTATAAGAAATATCTAAAAGTAAAATATGTCTCCATGGACGATTAAGCCAAGTAATTGAAAGTAAATGCTAAACAATAATTACTAAAATGAAATATCAAAGGGATGGCTAAAGCATGACAAGTATAAATCATTTAAACCACTGAAATGGCAATTCCCGCCAAAAGATCGGCGATAGCCGCCATCTTGCGACAACGTCCGTTTTAGGACTAATTACAAAACGATACTTCAAAACACACCCAGTCTCTTGCAAAAAACTACAAGAATATTACTACAACTACCGTTTAGGACTATATCATTAAGGATTAAGCTAGATTGTAAGTCCAAGAATAAGGAATAGGTCGTAACAATCTATACCACAAGTCCATATTATTAACTGTTAAAAAAAAAACGAGTTTAAATTCATAAACTATTTGTTATTCAAAAACAGCTTTCATCGTGTGTACTAAACGAAATGTTATATCCACAAACGTGCGACTGCAAGGTGAAATAACTATTGACGTTCTAAAAAAACACCGATCTGATAGAGCTGATTTCCCTTGACCTCGTGTGCACGGCACGAAATCAAACTGGATTCAGCTAGCTTCATCTACCTTCACGATTCAATAAAACGTGACGACTGAACTTTTGTATAGCAAGGCGGTAAACAAATGGGAAGATGTATCATTACAGAAACTTCTGACATGTTAATTAATAAAACGATGAAATGCAGTTCAAAGTATTGTAACCTGTTGATATATTCCTAGCCTTTTGTCACACCAAGTTTGGAGTTATCTCACACCAAGTTGGCAAACCTCTAAACTTCAAACTGCAGTCATCATGTTTGCTAATGACTACCGAATCCTCAGTCTTTACCACCGTGAAGACGATTATCAAGCAAGAAATGAAATGTTGATTATGACAGAAAGGGCCACATGTTACACTGCTACACTGATTTTTTTTCCTATGAAAAATATTATTCCTTGGAAAATGATTTGAGGGGTAAGACAGGTTCAGTTTTCTGGAACATTTTTATTCCCTTGAAAAAGTCGCTTATTTTAAAGAAATCCATCTTTGGATGTGTTTTACATATAGTATGTCTATTATAGTAACTTCCTTTCTCCAAAGACTTTTAAAATAAGTATGTATGGTGCGTGACTTCTATTTCGTATTAGAATTATAAACTAGAGGTTTTTACCATTTCGGTTTGAATTGCGAGGCTCCGGTTCATAAAATAAACACACACACACACATATCATCATCAATCTTCATATCCATCATGGGGGACGTTGAGCCACCAAGACCAAGCAATCAAATACAGACACACACGAAAACAGTTTGTATTGAAAAAAAATATTTATAAAGCTCAAGCCCAAAAGCATTTCTAAGCTTTGAGTCAAGGCCTGGTTGGACAATATTGACTCTTTTCATATGTTAAGAGCCTGTATAGAAAATCATTGATACGTGTCAAACAACAACTTCCGTACGCTAAGGCAATGGTACCCGCCGGGATTTACCGTGTGAGGGTTTAGTAGAAATCAAGTTTCAAGCCCGCGGGAACAGGGGTGCTGTGGGTGCTGTAGCATCCCCAAACTTTTTGGATTGGGGTGCTGGAATTTGCTTCAGCACCCCCTACATCCAGGGAAAAAAATGTGTTCCAGCCAGCAGTGTTCTACGACAATGAAATTGGGGACGAGTTTCTATTAACAATTTGAAGCTCTCTTTGACTTGCCCTCCCATTAAGGGGGCGAGATTTTTGACAATTTAAAGCTCACTTTGACTCGCCCTCCAAATAAGGGGGCAAGATTCTGTTGATAATTTAAAGCTCACTTTGACACGCCCTCCAAATAAGGGGGCGAGTTTCTGTTGACAATTTAAAGCTCCCTTTGATTCGCCCTCCCATTTAGGGGCGAGTTTTTGTCGATTATAAAAAGCTCACCTCGGCTCTCTCAAATAACGTATTTTTCTTTTAAATATTGTTGAGTGACCCTAACGTGGCGCGGCCCCTTACGTAACAGACTTTGATTTCTCGCCTGTAGCGCCTAGCAAGAGCAAAAGGGTTAACTGAAATTTCACAGAAAGTGACATTTCATCAATTTCTTAACACTCCCTTTTATAATTACGAGTTCATTTACCCGTAAACCATGGTTAAAAAGTTAGAAGCAAAATTGTATTCGGCGTGATTTACCGATTTCATTTCGAAGTGCACATTGAACCCTTTGAAAATTTCCCCCAAAAAAGAAAATACAAACTTAGTTGGGTTTGTAAGTAGAGATAATAATGGTGTATTGGAATGTATCAACTTTATCGAAATTTGTAAATGTTAATTTGGTATTTTCATGGATTTATTCAAGTGTGCCATACACGTAAGGGATATACTCAGCCGTTTTTGTGCCAAATTTCCAGACGCCACTGTTTTAGAACTTCGGACGAAATTTCATAACACCGTAATTGTTCACAGAGGTTAAATAACGAGCATTAATTAGGTAAAAGTACCAGTATTTCTCTGAATGAATTTGAAGTTGGTCAACAAAGAAGTATGTTACAGTCGGGGTTAACGTCGACAGTGGCGCACCCAAGGAGGGTGGGGCGCTCCCCCCCCCGGGTTTTTTTATTTTGTTTTGTTTTCTTTTTTTAGTCCCACGATTTGGCCTTGATGATATGAATGTGGCTTGTTTTCGAGTAGTATAATAGGGGTGTAAGTGGCGCCACCAACAAATAGGCCGCCCCTCAACCAAAAAAAACCCATTTTTTTTTTATGCAGCAAAAACATTTGGGCAATTTAAAAAACAACCAAAAAAAACTTAACTTTTAACAAATTTGTAAATAGATCCTGGGTGCGCCACTGAACGTCGCCACGTTATAGGGACTACAGGTGGTGGTAAGCAAAAGGCAGCAGTTGAATAACGATGTCGATCTTTTCAAGGTCATTGAAGAATGAATCAATCACCGCTAGTTCGAGGCTTTAATATCTTATTAATACATGTAGTTACAAAGTGAGATGGCCGTCCCATTCTTCTTCGGTTTTGCCATATGAAGCATTCCTGAATTAGAAACAAATACGTTAAGCCTACATCAGTCCATTCCAAGTTCATAACTAACAAGTTTTTATATTTATTTATATTTTTGTTTGTATAGATTTTGTAATTTTATCATTTGTAATTAATATTTTCATTTGTTAATGAAATGCCCCAAAGAAGCTTTGTCTAAAAATGATGATGGGCTTATCACAGTTAATTTAAACAGCACAATATCGCTAGGACCTATCCTTACGTGCTCAGCTGTTATGATGCGGACATCTTCCCGACCCATACATGAAAAACTATCAAGCAAACTTCACTAGATGCGTTATGGCCAGAATGTCACCGACACCTTGAAGTAAAACTCATGTAAATACCGGTAAAAACTAGCAATCGGAGAAAACGGCAGTTAAAGTTGAACGCCTTCTAGAACAACACTTTGTGTCAAAACTGCAGAGAATTTTCAGTTGGGTTTCTCGTTGTGGACACTTGATGTACTGATGTTATTAAAGTTGCTTTTTGACCCGTTTGTGTATTAAAACAACAAGAAATAAGAGAAAAAAAAATTGTGAAACCAAAAAAAGCTGCGAACTGTAAAGTTTCGTTTTCACGAAGTAGAAGAGTGTGACTAGAAGAGTGTGACTTCGTGGAAACGGAGGTCAGCGCGCGCGCGCTCAAACAAGAAATAGGGTTACTTCTTGAAAACGTTTTTGCTCGCATTTGAGCAGAGTGCATGCCATACATTACAATGTTAAATTGAACTTGAGCGTTACTTCGTGAAAACGAAAATTGTCACTTTCGCGCAAAAGTTGCCAAGGATAGTTAGCGTAATTATTAGAGTAAAGCTCTTGAAGCTTTGAAACTTCGTGCAATGGTAGGCCTTGATGGCTAAGGTATAAATATGTAAACAAAAAATGAAAATCGAAAAAAAAAATATGATTTAACACGTGGAGTGTTACTTCGTGGTGTCGGTGACGACTGATGTGTCGCACACAACGTCGTTTTTTTTGTGCCAGCTGCATGCTCTTTAGTGAGACGGAGAATGGTCTCTCTGTGATCCTGCAATCGTCTTTTAAATCTTTGTTTGCACGAGGATCGTATAGTTTTTTCTTACCGCCTGTACAGGATGAGTTAAAAAAAAAAAAGCGGAACCAAAACCCTACAAATTAAATTTGATATTAAAAAAAAAAATATTTAGCACTAAAAATAATGACTAGAAAGCCAATTGCATGAGCTACTTTTATATTAAAAAAATGAAATTGCTTTCCGTTCAAAGGATATAACCAGTTTAAAAGTTAAACATATTCCGAAACAAAGTCCTTTAAAGGCCCGTCTTAAAAACAAGAAAACAGATTTGATCAATCATATTGTTTGCTTAACCAGGGTTGTAAATAAAGACATTGTATACCACAATAATTGTTGTCAGTTGTTAGAACAAGTATTCCGAGTCATTTTTTTGCTGTTCCAAACATCAGAATACACAATAAATTCAAGTATTTGTCAGTCCCATCCAATGAATTGTGCACAAGATGAGAGTTCACAAGGCAGACATCTGGCAGGTAGAAGAACAGTTTCTTGTACCACTTGATGGACTTCCTGACCGTGCAGTGAGTTGAGGCAAGTTGGTCCGACATGTCCATGCCCTTCATGCCTGCGTTGAAGTCGAGGACGCACTTGGGCTTTTCGATGGGCTTGTTGTTCCGATCGCGTTTGCCGGAGTACCCCCATTGCGGACGTGTGCATCGTAGACAACATGCGTACATCTTTCTTGTCTTTTCAGACCAAGGCAAGCAGGCCATTGTCTGAAGAGTGATATGCAACTTCGCCTTTACGAAGTTGCAAGTCGCACAAGTCCTTGGGCATGTCCTTCCGACTTTTCCTGACTGTCGCGACGACGTTGGTCTTGTGACTGTGGAGTTCACGGAACAGAGAAGGGCTGCTGAACCAGTTGTCAAGAAATACGGTGTACCCCTTGCCGAGAAGATCTGCGTTCAAGTCAAGTACGATTTTTGTACTTTCCAGTGTATCGCTCTTGTCTTGCCCCGTGTATATTTTCAAGGTCCAGGTATATTCGGCAGCAGCTCCCGTGCTTTGGCAGACTCTGTATACCTTGATGCCAAATCTGGCGCGCTTCTTGGGGTTGAATTGCTTGAACTTCAATCTCCCCCGACTTCCACAGCGACTCGTCCGTGGATATACGGCTGTCGGGAAGGTAGACTGATTTGAAGTTCTCAGTCAGTGTATCTACCACTGGGCGGACCTTGTAGAGGCGATCACCTGTATCTGCCTGACTGCTGTCGGTGAAGTGCAAATGGGACAGCAAGTCCATGAATCGGTCACGGGGCATGGTTTTGGTGAAGAACGGGGTATCAAATACGGGGTCTTGTCCAGTAGAGTTTCAAGTCCAGCTTGGGCATTATTCACATGATGATTGGCATGGCCGGGAACGCCGACTTCTCATCTGGAGTATCGAACCATTCCCTTATGTGACTTGGACTTGGCGTTTGACGCTTTGGTTTCAGGGCGGCGTAGCGATTTGTCTCATCGGCGATGTGCGCCACCAGTTCGGGAGGGAAGAAGTTTTCGAAGGTCTCCATTGCTTCGCTAAGTTCATTCAAACCCGGCACTTGAACTCCCGTTGTACCATGGAAGCCAAATCGACGAGGAAAGTTGTCCGTGTCCTTCCATCGAATTAATTGGGTAGTCTTGGCTCGCCTCGCTAACCTTGCTAACGGGACTTGTTCGTCAGAATCGCTGTCACTACTTTCAATTTCTGAACTTTGTTCAGATTCCGAATCAGAATCTGAACTGCTGGTAGCGGTCAAAGTTTGCTCCTGTTCACTGGAAGACATCGTGTATGCAAGTGTACATGTACACAGAAAGCCCAGTGTCAGGTGTGATCAGCCGAGCGTACCCTACACACAGAGCACGCGTACACTGAACAAAAGCCCCTGTTCATCGCCATAGCCCGTGCGCGGTGCACAATGGAAAGCGCTCAGTGAGCTCGGAACACTAAAAGCCCTTCTATTCAATCGAGAAGAATAGGTCATTTCAATGAGTCAATAGTAGGTTTTGGAAGAATAATGAAGGTTCGCCAAACTTTTCCCTACTACAAAAAAAAAACAGCTTTCAATCAAAACCTGCCGGTAACAACAGGTGGGAGATGAATGAAATGTGTACGTGCGGCAAGGCGGCTATGCCCGCACCCCGGCACATAGACTTAAATCAGTCCGCGGCCATGACCGCTTGGCGTACGCAAGGGGATAAAAGCCCACTACAGACAGCCTTGAGCCTGCATGCTGCGCTGCCAACATCAGCAATGACATCCCTACAATTGCTCGTACAAATAGGACACAGGTTTAAACCCTAATTGTATCAAATCTGCTTTAAGATAATAGCCCAAAAGCTAGTGTGAACAGTGTGAATGCTACGGACGCGTGGTAGGATTTCGAATGCCTAAGCGAAGATAATATTTAGGAGAGTGAGCTGTCACCTGTGAGAGTCAAACTAATACAAAGGGTAAAAGTGACCAGATTTCATAGAGTCAAAAGTGTACGTGACACCGGGGTCATTTTTCTCTGCCCGTTTACTGAGCTGTTGGGTGTATCACAAATATTGCATGGTATTTAAGGTGGCTAGCAAATACAGGTATGTTCCACCGGGTAACACACCTCGCAGAACAAAGAATTGTTTGTGTTTGAAAAGCAAAACATGTACACGGGACATTTTAGGGAAATAAGTACCTTAACCCTAAAGGTGCCGGGGGGATCCGCCCCCCCCCCCTCAACATTTTCCGTGATAGCCTCTAAAAAAAAATTTTCGTGACCTGACCTGTTATGACTTTTTAGCCTCGAGCTTTGCGCATCTTTTGATACCAAAAACATAAAAATCGGACCACGGGTTGCCGCGTAGCGAAAAATTTCCCGGCGCTACGCGCCGTAAAAACTGAATTTTCGCATATACGTCGTGTACACAGAGCAGAATTGCCATTCGTACATATGAATACATATGAATACTTAATTAGCCATAATTCCAAAACCCTATGACCTATAGTCATGAAATTTCTTGGGTATGTTTAGGAAGAGTTGCTCTATGCATGTGCCAAGTTTCAATTTTTTTTGTCACTCGATGGCCGAGATCTTAGGGGGGGTGGAATCCGCCCCCCCCCCCCCGGCTGAGAGATGGTCAAAATAACCCGGCCCCTTTAGGGTTAAGAGTATCCACTTGTGTCATAGTGGGACAGATAGGGCAAATATCTCAAGGAATTGTACCTTTGGTGATAAGAATGGAATTTGACATACAGTGATCAGAGTATGTCATGTGAAAGATGTTTAGCTATAGGGCCATCGAAGATTATTTTGTCTTTTGTTAAAAAAAAATCAAAAAATATAGGGAGAATAACAGGCAATTTTCGATTTGTCTTTTTGATCATCAGTGACGATTGCAGGTCTTCTCCGTGAGTCACGATGAATTTGAAGGTGATCGTGCTGTTACTTCTTGCTCTCACATCATACGTCGACAGCCAAGGTAAGACCAGGAATACCAAGTGATTACTTAATACGGGCGATTCCCAATAGTGCGCCTCCAAGAGTTTGCAGCGCGTTGGCCAATCACAATGCGCGAAATCAGTCGACCTTTTCCAAACGGGCGTTGGGTCGACAGATTTTGCGCATTGTGATTGGCCAACGCGTTGCAAACTCTTGAAGGCGCACTATTGGGAATCGCCCGTATTGTAAAGCGTAAAATATACTAAGCAACATAAAAAAATAACTTGAAATATGCCGAGGGTATGCTTTTTTGCCAAAGATAAATCAGACGGTTAAACAATGACACAAGCTTATTTTTTGATTACATTTAACATTTTACGTTTGGATTCCACGCTTGGAGAAATTCGGTTGATGAATTGATCAACGTGTATTAATATTATAACAGGGAAAAGTAATCATTTGCATTTCCCCACAATCATCGTAGCATCGTCTTAACCGACAATTGAAAAGTTACTCCTAAGAATGTAAAACAGTTATGTTAAAAATAGTTCACTAGCGGTTTTCGAATGAAGTAAAAAGCCAGTCTTTGACATATGCCGCTTAATTGTATACACAAATAGTATCAGAGATAGATAGGCGGAGTTGAATTAACAATTTTAGCACAACATGTTGGATAGTTTCACGCCATTATCTGTCGGGGGGAAGTGCTGGAATGACCATTCTTAATTTGCTCTGGGTCACATGTGGGTCAGGTGACCAGGCCTAATGTCAAAATGTTTAACATGCTGTGCACGAGTGCCGTTTTGGATTACGGTGTTCAATAAATAAACTGAACCATGATACACAAAATGCTACTTGGGAATGAACATAGTCGGATAGAGTTACTTAACAACGATTAAAAGATTATAATTATTTGTGTCGCGAGGTGGCAACCCCAACGATGATAAGGGTGGTCAGGTTCACCCTCATGAAGATATATAGAGTAAGGTGTAGAGCAAGTGGAAATGAACTGGAACACTCAGACGGTTGTTTACACTGATTCACTTGATTAAGTATTAATTTAATTCACTTTCTCCAATTATACCAAATAATCCAAATGAAGATACGAATAAAGATTCCAATAGGACGACAATGTAGATCCAAGTAAGACACAGGGAAAAACCCAAATGAAGTTCCCTGAATGACGAAGACGACTGAGAAGACCATAAAAGAAGACCCTGTTGACCATGAATAACATGAATTGATCTTAAACTTGTGTAAGTCTTGTTCCAAAGTTATTTGATTAAATTAATATTATAAACAACAAGTATTTTAATTATACAGCATAAACTATAAATAATATAGTTGTTTTGTAGACAGGTGTCATGATCACTCTATAATTATACTAAATAGGATGACTAATTAATCAAGCATAAAAAAGAATCACAGTCTTACCCTGATATAAAATAGAGAAGGCCTGTAACTAATGCACTTCAGATGTCAACCTTCAAAGCTTGTGACTTGACAGTCTCAGCTACAAATTAAAATACATAAACATACCAATAGTATACATGGGGAACATATTTAAGGAAATAGCTTCTATCATAAAAGGTCCCGTGCACCAATAAACAATGCGACATACACGAACAACATTTCAAAATACTGTAAAGCGAGTAGGTCTAATTGCACAGTGTGGTCGAGATTCAACGTTTTGCTGCGCATACGCACACTACGTACTGAATGTACACAATGCTGAACTCAATGTCGCCATTATATAATGCATTATGCAGTGAATGTGAACGAAACTGGTCATTCAACTCTAGAAAAGTTTTGACACTTTCACACAAAACTAACATCCTAAAAACTATAAAAATCAATCAGTTTGACAATAATCATATCAACCAACCTCTTCTATGTCCCTTACATTATCTACTCAATACTTGATTAGAATTCAACTTACCCCCAAAATGAGTGAAAAGTGGGCGACTTTTAGCCAAGAGTTGGCTCGGTCTGAGCTTCCTTCACGGCCTGCTCGCAAGAGGACAAACCATGTAAGCGGTATTGCAATGACTACGACCCCTCGTGGCGCATAAAATTAACTCAGAAGGAGTGTTAACTTTGATTACTGGCAACAATGATGACATGCTGTTACAAAATATTTATTCTCAAAATAGAATTTTCAAATGACCTAAATGTCGACGAACATATCCAAACTTGTTCTGGGGCAATTAGGCTGGCGTGGTAAGTACACTAAAAGGAACAGCCAGAAAATAACATTGCATTATTTATGCTCCTCGTGAATTATTCATTATTTTAAACCCAAAACCCCATATCGTTACATTTGTATACATTTCGTATATAAATGCAAACGTTTACATGGGCGGCGCCAGATTTTTTTTTCAAGAGGGGGGCAAAGTTCTTATAATCTTTGTATTTTCTCAAGCATATTCTCAATTTATCATATATTTCGAGGGTGGGCGGACGAGGGAAGGGGCATTTGGCCACCCCACCCCATGCGGATGCCCATGTTGATAAAAGTGCATAAAAATAATAGCAACATACAGTTTTGTAGATATGGAGATTAGAAAATGCCCCTTTAATGTGATGTCAAATGACATGTAATGACGTCATAATGACGTCTTTTAAATGTTTACCTATAACATATCTCAGTATAAGGCTGTTGTGCTGCTGCCACAAGATTTTCTTTGATCTGACGAGTTTTGTTATCAATTCCCCATTATTTTGGGTATACCCATATTAGCTGTCAACAAGTTGCAGTCTACCTACTGTATAAAGTTGGATGTCGTATATTCATCGTTCTTGAAGATATTTCAGCATGGTTCCCGGCCTTACTTTGGTCTATTTTCAATTGGTACTGTTC